CCCTTATAAATAATAAGAACTGGAATGTATATTAATACAAGTAAATCAGGTCAGTTCTGATCTGATGTTCCAGAAGCCTCTGTCAATCAGTTGCTTTGATAGTAAACAAACACACAAATGGTAAACGGTAATCCAGCTGAAGCTAGCATTCACAAACGTATGACTTTTAGCAAATCAGTTAGGGTGAACATCACATAACAATTAATATTCATGACTCAAGTATGCCTGGCACAGTTGCGCTGAGCCGCTGACAGAAAGCAAACTTCCTGAGGAGCGAAGACATGACCAACAGCAGAGAAGAAAAGCCGTGTTTGACAGAAGTATGCATTTTTTTATATTCATATATCTGTCACAACAATGCTGTTTCTGGAAAGTTTAGTTTATGCTTTCAAGTACTTTCTCACATGAGTGTAACCGTGGCAACTAGGCATTTAAAACTAATGATATTTCTAATGTGTATTTAGAGAGGCTGATGAGATTTAGATATGCCCCCACTTTTCAGATTGTGTGTGTATGAAATGATTATGAATGAGACCCCGTAGAGTTCAGCTCTATTTTCATCTGGCCCTCGGCATCACCACATAATTAGAACAGACAAGGGAATGCAGATATTATTGCACATGCTCTAATTAATGTCATTACACGGGACACAGTTTCAATAGTTCCGCTTTCATCTGAACTTGTTGCAATGGCAAGACATTTAGGCTCACATTCAAATGTTTATTCAGATGCTTGGCATCATGCACAGACATCTTAAATGTGCATTTTTCACTAACTGCAGAAACGATTAAGTTAAAATGTAATTAGTGACTAATTCACGGATACATGGATGCAGGTGCACATTAAAGCTGAAGTGTGTATTTTCTTGATGTTAAAATACTTTCTCCTTTCTCAGTGCAGAGTCAAATATAGTGGTTGATTTCCAGGAAACATGTCAACACTTGAACTCTATGGTGCTTTCAGAGCATTTGTCTGTTTGTTTCAGTGATTTGAGCTTCACAACAAAACAACTTTGGCTCAAACAGTGGTGCGAGTTAGAGACAGGACTGTCAGATTGACTCATTAATGGGTAATGTTCAAAAGTTTGGTCGATTAGAATTTATAACATTTTTTATTTTATTTTATTTTGAAGAAATTAATACATTTATTCAGCAAGGATGCACTAAAATTATCGAAACTGATAGTAAAGACTTTTACATTGTTATGAAAAATCTTTTCAAATAAATGCTGTTCTTTTGAACTTATTCATCAAAGCATCCTGAAGAAATATCAAGCAGCACAACTGTTTTCAACACTGATAATAAAAAGAAATGTTTCATGAGCAGCAAATCAGCATATCAGAATGATTTCTAAAGGATCATGTGACACTGAAGACTGGAGTATTGATGCTGAAAATTCAACTTGCCATCGCAGGAATAAATTACATTTTAAAATATATAAAAAATATAAAACAGTTACTTTATATTACTGTGTTTATGTATTTTCAATCAAATAAATGCAACCATGGTGAGCATATGAGACTTTTCTCATAAAATACTATTAAAATGTAAAAAAAAAAAAATTATTAGGAACCCCGAACTTTTGAACAGTACTGTAGAATTAAGTTTTAAGTATGCATGTGTGTAGTAATTCAATCTGGACATACTACATCCTACAGTACACACTACATGTTGGCGTTGTCATGTGACGACTCTCCCGTGGCCTCATCGGATAGTAAAGTGTCCATTGGATACTTATAACTCTGGGTGGTAGCAGTAGGTCATTCATACATTTTTTAGCTAGTATTTTATGAATACTGTGTATTTGGACGTAATATTTATCTGATGAATTTTGCATAATATAATAGAAGGGATATAGGCACACTTATACACATTTTCATTTGATGGCACTAGTGGCACAGAAATTACTTTTACATTTGGCAGAAGCAAAAAGGTTTGCATTGCATTCATGGTGTACTCATAAGTTCATGCATTCACCTTGGAATCAAACCCATGACCTTCAGCTTTGCTACTGTTTGAGGTAAAGGAATGATAATTACACACTAATTTTATGCTGCTTGCACTAATTACAAATGGCACACTTCAGCTTTAATATATGTAAATATTATGTGAAATGTTTTTTTGTCTTGTTTTACCATGCCTGTTATGAAGTGAACTTGCTGCAAGAAATAACATAGGTCTGTAAGATTAGGGCTCAATAATAGACTGGGGGTTAACATTGAAAATGACATTCTTATTCATCTGAATTTGCCCTCGCTACACAATGATTTCCAATACTCAAGACTGTCTCATTGTAGGCGTAAACATTTTGTCCATGCCAAATTCTTCTTTCATTCAGGACTGACGGTTGTCATTGTAGACAGGCTATTCCATGACAACAGTTATTCTTTTAATTACCCAGATGACAAGAGTTGTCTCCTTAGGGTTAGATCTGAATTGAGCCCCATGGTATCAAGAATGAAATTTCCTGCAGCTCTTCTTGAGAAGGACATTATGTGCCTCATGCTTAATGAAATAGCATCTAATATTAGCATGTTTAGCATCACTGTGTTTTGCCATTTAAATCAAGTTTATCTGCCCTGTAACTCTTTCAAAGTCTGATAAACCATTGATTGAACTTTGTCACAACTTTCCATGAAGAGATGAAGGAAACAGCTGGAACATGTCCCAGGCCTGTCTACTCATTGGTCCTGGGAGAACACATCTAAAAATGTTGCAAATTTAAATGACAACTATGTATAGACCAATTAAAATCCAACACTTATTACAGGACTCGTCAATAAAATATTAATAGGATCACATTAAAAAGCCATTAGAAATGCAAAATCATCCTGTCAGTGACTTAAAGCTTGTCACACAGAAAAAAAACATCATTAATATTCTGACTAAATGTCATTATGTGAAAGTTACTAATCAAGCATCTATTATTATTTTCAATAGTGAGTCATTAGTCCAGTGGTAAATCATTTTTTGCACCGAACACATGCTGTGCTGTTAAATGATAATCTGTCAGTATTATCCAGTTGACATTTAATGGAAACCAACAGCATGATTGCAAGTGTGATATTGGCTTTATACACCCGTTCAATAAATAAGCTGATAAGAAACTAATTTAAGACACAATAGTTACAGAACTGTTATGGGTTCAGCACAGTTGTTTAGTACAATCTTTCATGAATGATTTGTTCTTTTATATGAATCTCTGATATGTCTTGGGAATAACAAGTTGTCTCAGAGACTGATTTGTTAATTTTGTTGTGACTGTGCATACGCAACATCTCAAAAAGACGCTGTAGGATTTGGAGTGAACTAATTTCTGTTTCCCATCATTTATCTTTGGCTGCATGTATTTCAAATTCAGAATTTCAGTTTGTCTATTAAATGAATGAATCAGTCTTAATCTGAATGAATCAGTGTTTTTGAATGATTCAGTTGATTGAATGACTCAATCACTGAATCCGCATACTACTCTTACTACAGTATTCATCTTTCTATGGCAGACATAGTAAGTAAAATAGTAACTAGTACACCGTTCTGAATTCAACAAATGACTCATTCATAAGGTTTGGTAATATTATATTAGAGCAACTGATTTTATACATCAATATATATATATATATATATATTGATCATAGCAGTAGATGCTCATCAAATGATGGCGAAAAGCAGCAAAAACAACATTCAGATATATGGTCTAGTGATATGTGCTTTCATCATTTTAAAGAGCTAATTTATGTGTCTGAATTGCAGTTACTTGATTTGTTTAATTCTTTTACTTAATCAGCCTCAAACAACTAGATGTCATGTGCAAATATACACCGGCATGATTCATTCATAGTGAATTTATTGTTGTTCAACCTCTACATGTTATTAAAACATATTTAAAGGGTTAGTTCACCCAAAAATGAAAATTCTGTCATTAATTACTCACCCTCGTGTTGTTCCAAACCTGTAAGACCTTCGTTCATCTTCGGAACACAATGTAAGATATTTTTGATGAAATCTGAGGGCTCTCTGACCCTCCCATAGACAGCAAGGTAACTACCACGTTCACGGTCCAGAAAAGTACCAAGATAATCGACAAAGTAGTACGTTTGACATCAGTGGGAAAATGTGGAATAATGTCGTTATTTTTGTTTTCTTTGCGCGAAAAAGTATTCTCGTAGCTTCGTAACTTAACAGTTGAACCACTGATGTCACACGGACTACTTTGTCGATCATCTTGGTACTTTTCTGGACCTTGAATGTGGTAGTTACCTTGCTGTCTATGGGAGGGTCAGAGAGCCCTCATATTTCATCAAAAATATCTTAAATTGTGTTCCGAAGATGAACGAAGGTCTTACGGGTTTCGAACAACACGAGGGTGAGTAATTAATGACAGAATTTTCATTTTTGGGTGAACTAACCCTTTAACTGTGTGCTGTGTAACTGCTTCGGGTACGGAAGCAAGTTTCACAACTCGTCATGGATCCATGTAGATGGCAATATGTCTCTTGCATCATATCCCCATACGTTTTTTTCACTTCACACGTCTCTCTCCATCTCTGTCCTCTGTAACATGTTGTGTAGGTTGAGATCTCTCATGAATAATAAATGATGAGTCCTGATTGGTAATCCACTGATGACTCCATGAGCCACAGACCTTGTGGATGCATCATCTGTCCTCCAACACCCTCTCAATCCATTCATTCCATCCATCCTCATTTAGAGATTATCATCTCTCCGTCTGTAATAGATTGAATGAATCACCCAGAACAACACCCCATCCCACCACCACCTCACTATACAAGGTTTCTCTCTCTGTTCTCTCTAGAATTTGTCATTCCCTAAAATGTGCTCTTACACCCTTGTCTGTGTTTTTTTCTGTCTTGATTATGTCATGGATGTTTTGTGAGCTTGAGACAAACGGGGCTAATGATATGCTTTGATGTTTCAGAAGTTATAAAATTTTCACTGCAGAGGAATGATTAATTTCTGGCTATTTCTCTTTCTCGTTATCAGTGTTTTGCAGCCTAACATGGGGAAAAAGTCCAAATACAAAACCTCAGTAAAGAAGAAGACACTAAACCCAGAGTTTAACGAGGTCAGCTATTTCCATTAAAGGTGTGGTCACATGAAACTGCACAATTAATTAATATTAAGGTTCTCGCAATTTATTAAAAATGAAAAATGCTGATTTCTTTCTGTTGCACTAAAATGTCTTTTACACAGTTTTTTCAGTGGTTGAGAATTGTAACCAGTCACAGACAAATGCAATGGCAAACCAAAGGCTTTTAAATGATAGGCCTTATAAGGGAGTTTAAAGTAGTCTTGATTATCGTTTTTAATCTAAAGTAATAATTGCAATAAAATACCAGGGAGAAATACATAACGATTAGGATATTGTCACAGTCATGCAGCCCTTTAGGCTTTCTGCTCTATTCAAATCCATTCATATTCATGCAAATGTGGGCGAGCGGAAAAGCAAACACAAGTCAAGAAGTTTCATTCTTGGCTGCATACTAAATTCAAGTTTGATGAACTTTGAATTTGTATAGTCCCAGATTGATCTCGAGTCAAAATGAAGAATAAAAATTTGGTTTGCAATTTGTGGGAAAGTGAAGTGAGTGGTATATATGACAATTTTTATTCTATTGTTTTTTTGTTACATATAATTTATGATTTACTTAAAAACAGAAGCCCTAGAATGTGACATCCTTTTCTGATGTTTATAACTTTGCATGCTCAAAGCTGAGTGTGACCACACTTTCACTCAATGTGAATATAAATGTTGTTTTTTTCCCTCTATCAAAACTCATGTGTGTCCTCTTCAACCCAGGAGTTTACCTATGATGTCCCGCATGATCAGCTGGCCAAGAAAACCCTGGAAATCTCAGTCTGGGACTACGACCTGGGCATGAGCAATGACTTCATAGGTGAGTTTTACAAGCAAGTCTATGGTGCAAAGCACTTCACCAGAAATGAAAGTACACACTATTTGAAAATTTAAGCCACTTGATGACAATGGGAAAACAATAAAGAAAAACGCTAAAAGGATGATCAGCTTTACCACTCAGATAACACACATTTTTATAAGAAAGAATGAATGAAGGTTCACCTTACAAGTTATTTTGTATTTCCTATACTTATATATTCTGTATTTATTTATTAGTGTTTGTGTATATAAAGTGGGTATAGAAAATAATCACGTTTAAAATAATCACATTTTGTTGCTTTGCAGCCTGAAATGAAGATGGACAGTTTTTGTTTTATCCAGCTGTATTTACTCAGTGCAACTTATAACATCCATGTGAAAGATATAACACCAACAAAAAAAAAAAATAATTGCAATAAAATACCAGGGAGAAATACATAACGATTAGGATATTGTCACAGTCATGCAGCCCTTTAGGCTTTCTGCTCTATTCAAATCCATTCATATTCATGCAAATGTGGGCGAGCGGAAAAGCAAACACAAGTCAAGAAGTTTCATTCTTGGCTGCATACTAAATTCAAGTTTGATGAACTTTGAATTTGTATAGTCCCAGATTGATCTCGAGTCAAAATGAAGAATAAAAATTTGGTTTGCAATTTGTGGGAAAGTGAAGTGAGTGGTATATATGACAATTTTTATTCTATTGTTTTTTTGTTACATATAATTTATGATTTACTTAAAAACAGAAGCCCTAGAATGTGACATCCTTTTCTGATGTTTATAACTTTGCATGCTCAAAGCTGAGTGTGACCACACTTTCACTCAATGTGAATATAAATGTTGTTTTTTTCCCTCTATCAAAACTCATGTGTGTCCTCTTCAACCCAGGAGTTTACCTATGATGTCCCGCATGATCAGCTGGCCAAGAAAACCCTGGAAATCTCAGTCTGGGACTACGACCTGGGCATGAGCAATGACTTCATAGGTGAGTTTTACAAGCAAGTCTATGGTGCAAAGCACTTCACCAGAAATGAAAGTACACACTATTTGAAAATTTAAGCCACTTGATGACAATGGGAAAACAATAAAGAAAAACGCTAAAAGGATGATCAGCTTTACCACTCAGATAACACACATTTTTATAAGAAAGAATGAATGAAGGTTCACCTTACAAGTTATTTTGTATTTCCTATACTTATATATTCTGTATTTATTTATTAGTGTTTGTGTATATAAAGTGGGTATAGAAAATAATCACATTTAAAATAATCACATTTTGTTGCTTTGCAGCCTGAAATGAAGATGGACAGTTTTTGTTTTATCCAGCTGTATTTACTCAGTGCAACTTATAACATCCATGTGAAAGATATAACACCAACAAAAAAAAAACAGAATCATTGAGTTGTAAACTCGATCAGTTGTAAACTCAATCTGGTGTAGCTAATTACCTGCTCAATGGCACACAAAGCCATTTGACTTTCAACTGTGATCAGCTGTGGTCATTTTGATTAGCTCAGCATGAAAAGAGCTTTCCTGGAGCATTTCAGTCCTTGGTAATGCAACTGCGCAAACAATCAACTATGGGCACCCAGCAAAAGATCTCCAGGATAAAATTATGGACAGGCACATATCAGGAGATGGATACAAAAAAAATTTTCAAATTCTTTTCCTCAATAAAGGCCACATGCAGTCACGACTGAGCTTTGCCAAAACGCACCTTGAAGATTCTGAGGCAGATGAGACTAAAATGGAGTTATTTAGCCTCAACACCAAACAATATGTCTGGCGAAAATCCAATAGAGCTCACCATCAAAATAACAGCATTCCTACAGTAAAGCATGGATACAGTAATATCCTGTTATGGGGTGTTTCTGCAGCAGGGACTGGAGCACCTGTCAGGATAGAAGGAAACATGGATGGGGAAAAATACCTTCAAATTCTTGAGGAAAATCTGCTGCCCTCTGCCAGAAAGTTGACAATGAGAAGAAGGTTTACCTTCCAACATGAAAATGACCCAAAGCACACAGCAAAACTGAGCACACAGTGGTGGAAGGAGAAAAAGGTGAATGTCCTTGCATGGCCTAGTCAGAGCCCAGACTTAAACCCCATTGAAAATCTGTGGAAGACTGCCGTCCACAAACGGTCACCATCAAATTGAACTGAACTTGAGCAGTTCTATAAAGAAGAGTGGGCAAATATTGTAAAGTCTAAATGTGCAAAGTTAGTAGAGACAGAGACATATCCCAACAGACTAAAGGCTGTAATTAAAGCAAAAGGTGGTTCAACAAAATACTGACACAAGGGAGTGATCCTTTTTCCAACTCAGTCATTCTGTTTTTTTATTTTATTTTATTTATTTTTTTTCTGACATGTCGGTGTTATATCTTTCACTTGGATGTTGTAAGTTGCACTGAGTAAATACAGCTGGATAAAACAAAAACGTGTCCATCTTCATTTCAGGCTGCAAAGCAACAAAATATGATTATTTTAAAGGGGGTGATTCTTTTCTATACCCACTGTATGTATATATACACACAACTTTTCAGCAAAATTAAGTAAAAGTATAAAAATAGAGTTATAGAATATACCTGTTATATACTGTGTATATAAGAGTGATTCGATTTGAACATGTCTGCAGAATGCTTTGCTGCATAGACTTCCAATGTAAATGCAAACTGAGCGACAAGTCAAATTATTGTCTCTGGTATTGTCAGCATGCCACAGGTGCTGCAGGTAGAGCTTAACTTATTTTGACATGGATCTTTCCTTTAAGATGTTTTGTTTTGATGCTTTGTTCTTGTAGAAGCGAATGTTACAACATGCATGTCACATTTCCTGAGCAGAATAAGAAAAGAGTTTTATATAAAGGGTAGTTCACCAAAAAATCTCATCATTTGCTCATTCTCATGTCATTCCCAATCTGTATGACTTTTTCTTTCCTTGGAGCACCAAAGGAGAAGTTTAGCAGAATGTCCATAATGTGTGCTTTGCATACAATGAAAGTGGATGGGGTCCAGGGCTGTCAAGCTCCAAAAAAAGCATCACAAAAGGATCATAAAAGTAGTCCAATGTGAACCATACATGATAACTTTGTGTGAGGAACAGACTGAAATTTAAGTCGTTTATCACTGAAGGTGTCGCTCGACAGCTGTGGTCACTGTTCACTTTTAATGAAAGAGCAGCCTGGACATTCTGCTATAAATAACTGCTTTTTGTGCACCACAGAAGAAAAAAGATCATACAGGTTTCGAAAGACATGTGGGTGAGTAAATGATGACAGAATTTTCATTTTTGGCTCAGCTGTCCCTTAATAAAAAGAAACAGAGGAAGAGACTAGAACAGAAAGGTTCTTGAGCTTTGTGCAATGACATGTTTATTTATGGTTGAATGACACGAACGCTCTGTAACGATCGGGACAGTGAGAGTAATTGATGTCAGTGTTACTGATTTAGAGGGGATGGCTGAAGAATGGATTGGGGGTGGGGCATCAACAGAGAAGTGTAAAGACATGAAGCGATGTAAATGAACGGAGAGGCTTGTGAGAGACATCCAGGCGTGAAGGCACACGGAGGATGCAGGTCTCGGATTGACAAGTGCAATGAAGCTTAGTATTTATTTAACATTTTCTTGGATCTTTCCAACTCGCTTTCTTTCACCCGCTCCCTGTCTATTTCCTTTCTTTTTTTTTATTCCCTGTGGCAGGGATGTCATGCGTAGGGTTCATTTGTCATGGCTTGCTCGTGGCCGTGAGCATGCGGTATTGATGTGAGGTGTGTGTGTGTGTTTGTGTAGGAGTGATCGAAGCGGGACAGAATCTCAGTACGTGAGGGGCCTGATGAAATGAAACGCAGCTTGTGTCCGCCAACATATTCACATGCACTTTCATTATTCAGAGCAAGCTCATTTGTTAGACTAAGAGGAAACACACTGAAGTGTCTAGAACAACTCAACTTCAGAAGCCACAGTCAAATACATACTGTATTATATATACATATATATAATATGTATATAATATATATAAACATTACATGAATGTACTGTACCTATTTAAGCAATGTTTTACACTTATAATTTTGAAAAGCGGATAGCATGTGCTAGAATGTAACTTTGAGTTACTTAGCAACAAACATCCAACCATAATGCTTACCTCATTAATTAAATATTCATGTGCGATTTATGTGCGAATATAGACAAGCAGGTATTAAAACAGGTTGTGTGGTCATCACTCTTCGCCCAGTTTTATTACCCTTATAAATAGATAAATAGGCATCTAATTACTAGTCAGGGTAAAATATGAACAGTATAAAATAGAATAGATTAGACCAATATAGCATGCAGTTGCCTAACACAAAAAAAATGCAATTACAATATCAAGGAAAATACACTACTGTTCAAAAGTTTGGGGTCAGATTTAAATTTTTTCTTTTTTCCTTTTTTTTTTTTTGAAAGAAATTAATACTTTTATTCAGCATGGATGCATTAAATTAATTCTAATAATTTAAACTAATTAGAAATCAATTCTGTTCTAGTCATCAAAGAATCCTGGAAAGAAATCTGTTTTCACAAAAATTTTAAGCAGCACAACTTTTCAACATTGATAATAATAAGAAATGTTTCTTGAGCAGCAAATCAGCATATTAGAATAAAGTGGTTACGTTATAATATTTAATAATTTTACTCTTTTTACTGTGTTTTTGATTATTTTTTTTTTAAACAGCCTTGGTGAGCATAAGAGATTTCTTTCAAAAACATTACAAAATCTTACCAACCCCAAACTTTTAAACAGTAGTGTAATTATTCATTATGTTTTTGGTCATAATCATGCAGCGCGGCTATTTTTCATTTGGTATCCTATTCTCTCTTTCTCTCTCTTTCTCAGGTGGCGTTGAATTGGGGATTAACGCAAAAGGAGAGAGACTGAAACACTGGTTTGAGTTTCTAAAATACAAAGGAAAGAAAGTGGAGTACTGGCACACACTGACACAGCAAGGAGCCCCTAGCAGTGACTAACACACAAGCACATTCTTTTGTGATGAGAAAGAAGCAAGTGTGTGTTCACAAGCCCAGATTGTGACGCACAAAGAATCGACCCCTTTTTCTGGTCTGCACGTCACTAATGTGAAATTGTACTGTGTTGTGACTATGCCACAGGAGCTCATGCCATATTATAGTGTTATTGTTTATTACATGTTAAACGTGTAATAGCATCCTGGTGTTTGTTACAGTTGGTGGTGCCGTAATTTTGCACACTGTCAAAGCACAACACATCCAGCTGATTGTAAATGTCTATGTGTACCTATGTATTTACCTTTTGTGATTTGTTACGAATGAAAGTTTACAGTCTCTTCCAGCCCGACAAAAACATGACAAAGTACAAAGGACGGCACATGAAGGAACTCTAAAGCAATGAAAATAATTGTCTATGGATTTAAACGTTCACTCAAGAACTGCCGCCTGTCACTTTGAGCAGAACCAAACGACAGTCACCTCAACGCGAATGTGTGCGTGTGTGTGTGTGTGTGAATGTCCCTGTCTGTGTTTTGTCTTTGTATGTGTCTTTGTTAAATGTTTGTATAGTCTACAAAAAAAAAATGTGCTGATGCACATTGACAGACTTTTTCGCTTTCTCTCCGGCACCCTCTACTGGTTTAGAGGTCTAACCGCCAGTACAGAGGGTGAATCGCCTCTGGCAGGCCTCATGCACAACTGCACGCCCCATTAGGGGTTAAATTAGCAATCAAACGAAGCCTTTGAAGGACAAACTACCTGTCAAGGACAACTTTGGACAACACAAAATCTGGGTTGATTTGCTTTGTCGTCCTGACAGTTAGCTCTGTGAAAAGATGCACATTTCTTGCCATGCGTGGGGATTTTGGCTATAATCGTATCCGTGTGATAGCATTTATTAGCTATTTATAACATTCAAATCATCAACTTTTCATCTAGTCTTGACATTTTAGGCATTTAATTGCACAAAAACTTATTGTTAACCTCGTCCTTTCATGGCCCTCATCCATCATTCCAAACTTGGAGTTCTGTTCTGTTTTTTTTGGGGGGGTGCGGTACATTTGAATTATCAAATGAATGGCCTACATGGTGTATAATTATCAAATGTTATTCTAAGCAGCTGCATGCCAAGTGAATGTCACATATGCTTTGATGGACCACCGATCTGCAGTGCTTATGTTTGTCGTAATATCCATAAATGGGTCCATCTAAGGGTATTTGATTTTGCTCAGTGAACTGGGACAATCCAGGCTACCTTTGATGAAACAGCATGGCATTCAGATAATGGACTGGCACCACCTGCCAGCCAAACTCAAGTCTCGCTCACGTGTCCTCGTTGATTGTCTGTGTGGAACATGTGATGTGACTGCCATCGTGCGTCCGTCTCTGTAACTGCGTCTCCGAAATAATTTGGTGCAACGGTGGCTGTTGGAAATGGGAGCGAGTTTTGTGCATTCAATTCTTATAAAGGTCTTTCATTCATGCAACAGATTTCTTGTCATGTAATGGAAAATAAATAACGAATGCATGATGTAAAGTACATCTTTAATGACCGAGATTCTGCATGCATTCTAATTCTATGCATAACATGATATTGTTACATAAATGCATTTGTTTGTGATGAATGAATGTAGAACAGAACGTTTCATTTTTTTTTTTTTGTGGCGAAACACTGTTGTGATGTCTTTTTTTTTATCTCTCTTTTTATGGATTAATTATTCTTCCCATGAATAGAGGAGCGCCAGCCTCATCGCTCCACAGTATCAGGACGAAGGGCTGTAGAGCCGCGAAAGAGGAGAAGGAGCGAGAAAAAGAGATGCTTGTGGCTGCTGCGGCCTCCACCCCTGAATGAATGTAGAACAGAACGTTTCATTTTTTTTTTTTTGTGGCGAAACACTGTTGTGATGTCTTTTTTTTATCTCTCTTTTTATGGATTAATTATTCTTCCCATGAATAGAGGAGCGCCAGCCTCATCGCTCCACAGTATCAGGACGAAGGGCTGTAGAGCCGCGAAAGAGGAGAAGGAGCGAGAAAAAGAGATGCTTGTGGCTGCTGCGGCCTCCACCCCCTTCTCGGTCAACGAGAGAAAGGCCCTATGACGAACGTCTAAGATGAATGATTCATATTCCCCCGGAAATATTCCACACAAGTTAGGCTTTAAGAAGAGATCTGACAAACCTGAGGAGAGGTGAGGAGAATTCTGTCAGGATTTACTCATCCACATTTGTTCCAAATACACCTGCTGTTTATTTTTTTCTTTCAAAAATTAGATTTATACAAAATGAGAACTTTTAAAGTGCACATGCTTCCTTTTTATACAAAGAACCATACATTGTTGCCAAAAAGTACTAAAAGCACCATAAAATTATAAACATATAATAAAAATAGTCCATATGACTCTTGCACTAAATTCTAAGTTATCTGAAGCCATGTCATAGCTTTGAGTGAGAACCGGGCCGAAATGTTTAAGAAGATTTTCAGTGAATAATGATTCACTCATCTCATTTCTGAGTTTCTTCTCAAAGAGTTAAACTATGACTTGGAATATCTTGTAGTGCAGGAATTTCTGGTAATATGTATGTTGTATGGAAAATGGGATCGTGTATATATGTAGCCTAAACACAGTAGTGTGTTCTACTGAGAAAACCGCATACAGGTTTGGAATGAGATGAGTAAATGATGACAGAATTTTAATTTTGTGTAAACTTTCCCTTTAAATTTCACTCACATTCTAGCTCTTTCCAGCATTTTGGAGTAAAAAAAAGTGACATTCTTACCCAGATTCCTCAGTAAGCCCTCTAATGGTGTGTCCACTGTCAGTTTAATTTTAGGCAGTATGACCTCAGCGGTTTGGGATGGGATTGTATTCATCTCAGAAACCATTGCTTCAATGGACTCTCCGTTTATATTATTTTCCATCAATACAAAAGATTCTTCTGACGTTGTGCGCGGGATCAGTATGTACAGGCTGTTTTTGCCCGTAAGAGGGAACTTTCCGACCTGCAGAAATAGTTCTACAATGTATGTGTTTGTATTTGTACAAATACAGTACAAGTGCTTGTAGTTCATTTTCAGGAAATGGTGTCATTGTTGTAATGTAAAATTTAAGGATTTTTTTTCTTTTAATTATATTTTATTATTTAAATACTTCTATATTGGATTATATTTTTTTTAATTTAACATTTTTAATTACATTTTTATTTATCTGCTTTAAATTTTTTATTTATCTATCTATAGGATGTCAATACTTCTTGATCTACACCACACAAGTATCTAGTGAATATTATTCTGTTTCTTGCCAAATAATTTTTTTTTATTAATCATTGATATTTTTTGCCATAATAGAGCTTGATGAGAAGAAACTTGCCTCTGAACTTTGTAAAAATATATTACATGGTCTCACTGATGACAGATCAAAGCACTTTTTTTAAATATAATTTTTAGATATGGTGAAAGTTGGCATGCAAATTGGCTGATATTCTGAAGAGACAAACAAACTATGTTTTATATTAATTTGCCTTATACACTAAACAAGGTAAATCTCGAATATAATATAACGAAGTTCAGTATCTGGTTAATAATATCAATATCAAGTCAAATGGTCTCAAATGCAAATGGCACAGTTTCCATATAACTCCAGTGATTGTTTGACAAAAAATTCTCCCAACTGTTGCTCTATGTGGAAACGAAACTCTTTAGGCTATGGATGTGACTGCACTATTAAATTAGGCAGAATCAAAATGAAGTCCAGAATAATTGATTCTGATGTAATTACAGCAATGCTGTTATTTTGACAGCATATATCCTTGTGAAAAAGAAGTGCACCTAATTATAATCCTAAAAATGCATTTTTTTTTTTTAACTTGTACTTGCAGATAATAAAGGAATGAAACACTTATGTGGACTTAATGAGTGTAGACTTTCATGACTGTTTCTTAACACTTTTAAAAAGTGCACTTTGTAATAATGTCAAATTAAAGGTTTTCCTGTAAATCATTGTTTTAATCTTTAATAATCGGCACACTTATTTTGATGTGTTGATTAACATGAAAAGTACTCATAGAAAACTCTGTTATATATATTTAAAATGTATTAAATTGCAACTTCTTCACTACAAATGTGTACTTACAAATATATTTAAATACATGACATGTAAGTTTCAATAGAAATGACATTGAAGTATATTTTAGTTTACCATAAATGCTTATAAGTAAATTCGGCAGCACAAAATTTTTAAAAGCAATAGAATTATGAAATTACTTATAAAGCTGTACTTAAGTCCTAATTAAGTGGGTCAGATAAGCACTCTTAAGATTAACTCATTTAATTTAATATAAATTTAAACTAGAACATATTTTCAATTAATTCTAAGTAACATGCAATTAAGTGTCTGAAAACACTTAATTCTTTTAAATAATATTATTTCCATAATAACTCTCCTTTTAAAGTATTCCTGTACTACTTTTTCACAATGTGAGTGGTTATCTTAGATAATAAGTGTGTTTTTTTTCTGTGCTTACCTGGGGAATAAAAGATGGCAGAGGCCATTCCCAGTGTGTCCCCAATAGCAGGTTATAAAGAGCTACAGCAATGCTGATTGGGGAGAAGATCAAGTTGGTTTTGGGTTTTGAACCTTTAAGATCTGCATATACAGAGGTGGAGAATTCTCTGAGTGAGTCCTGCAGAATTGCCTTCACTGATCTGCTGTCCTGATCCTCACAGGCCTCCCATGGGTCAGTGTGGCCAAAGCAGCGCGGTGGAGGAGGGGCTAAAGAATAAAATGGTAGGTAAAGTAGGTTTTACCCTGAAAAATAAGTCATTTCTTTCCAAAAGGATGTGATTTGGGATTTAAAAATACAGTTTATGTATATTCCAACAAAAATGCTCTGCTCTGAAAGTCTCATTTTACATATCTCCAAAAGATAAACTTATTCCAATTATAGATGGTTGTTTTATAGTAGATGACCCCTGAGTAAATTTATAAATCACATATATTTTAAAAATAACTAATTTATTTTTTCTTTCACTCTTATATAGTAAGAATAATATTAAAACAAAATGTATAATTTTCCAGATATTTTCTTTATTTTAGTCTTATTAAAATGAATGTTGTTTTTAATTGTATTCCTTAAATGTCGAAATAATATAAAAGCATTTGTAAACGTTTGTCTGTTTTAGATTAAATAATTTCTTTATTTTCTTCCTAAATGTAAGAATAATATTAAAACAATTTTATAAATTAAAATAAATAAAATGTATTTTAAAAAATAACTTCTTTTATTTTAATAATTATTTTTACATTTTATTTCTAAGTAAAGTGCAATAATATTGAAACAGGCTTACTTTTATACATTTTTCTAATTTACTTTTTTGTTTTAATTTATATATAATTTATTTTCTTAATGTAAGAATAATAATAAAACTGAATTTTTACATACATTTTATTTTAAAAATTATTATTTTTTTTTTATTTAATTATTATTTTTTTATTTGCATTTTAAATAAGTGTCTGAAAGGAGTACCTTCCACTTCCAGCTCTACTGACAGCATCTGAGTTGTATTAGTTATGACACAGTGGTACATCCCAGCATCTTCCTCTCTGGTCTGACTAATTTTAATCGCCCAGTCAGTCCTGTTCTTTAGAGCTGATGTCCCAGAAAACCCTTGGAGGTGTCTTGTCCTCCTCTTGGTCGTCTGTGTCTTTGTCGGGCATGAGAAGCATATCACATTTTTCTGTTTCTCGTTTCCAGAAAACGGTGTTTTTCTGTCTCTCTGGAAGAGAAAAATTTAGCAACCTTGCACGGAAGCATCACATCATTCCCAGCTACTACTCTGACGACCTGCCATTCCTGAAAGGGTGGGGGCGCTAAGAAAGAAAAAAAGGGGTCAGTTTATTAATTGACCTCTGAGATTCACAGTCATCAATGCAAGAAATCTTTCTAACCTTTCACACGTATCGTGAATGTTCTCCTCAACCTCACACGATCCTCTCCTTTATAGCCATCCTGAACACACTTGTACTGTCCTTCTTGGGTGGTTTTTATGTTTCTGAGGTTCAGGATTTTTCCTTTCTCCTCAAGTGTGAGCTGCTGCTGTGTGTGAGCAGACGTGAAGCTCCAGGTGTATGTAGAGTCAGCCAGCACAGGAGCATCATCAGGAAGACAAGTAAGGGGAATGCTGAAGTTTTGCAGAACAGTGATGTCACAGGTAGACAGGGAAAGCTGAAGAAATGGGAAATTGTAAAGCCACCATTAAAGTGTCATAAAAGTGGTTTATATGATTTGTGTGTTATACAAGTGCATCTCAATAAATTAGAATGTCGTGGAAAAGTTCATTTATTTCAGTAATTCAACTCAAATTGTGAAAGTCGTGTATTAAATAAATTCAATGCACACAGACTGAAGTAGTTTAAGTCTTTGGTTCTTTTTCCACGACATTCTAATTTATTGAGATGCACCTGTATATTAAAGTCCTCTGAGGCCAGTGAGGAACAGACATTGGACACATCAAAAGTCATCCGGTTGTTGGTTATAAGTGATGTCATTTTCCTACTATTTCTATACAATTTGAATTAATATTTTTTAAATAGTTTTAGTTTAAGTTTTCATTTTAAATTTTGATTAAACGTTTGGATTTGATTTAAAATTTTTGAATTTATTTATTTATTAGTTTTGGTGTGTGTTTTGTCATTTTTATTAGTTTT